TTGCTAATTTAAAATGAGGAAACAGAAGCTTAGAGAGAATTTCTGTAGCTTGCCTTACATCCCAGAGGGAGAAAGTAGAAGGGGGAGGATACGGCTCCAAAGCACCTTTCGAACCACTTGGTTTTACAGCCTCCCATCTACGAGGTGGAGGGGCAACACCTTCCTCACAGGAAATCAAAGACTTGTGACAGTGCCCAGCATCTGGTCACAGATCAATAACTGGCATATCTTATAGCTTAATTCCTGGCTCAACGGCCAGCATTCCTTACAGTTATTATTCTTTCATTGTGGCTTAGATTTTTTTTTTTTTTTCCCAATGTGTGTGTGGTGGTTGTTGTTCTGGTAATGGTAACATGAAAAGTAAACTGATAGTCAATGCTTTTTAGAATTTAGTCTCTTACTTTCCCATCTAACTTACTCAACAGTGTTTAATGTGTTTATTGTGACTTTGAGGGAAAAAACAAACAAACAAACTTTCTGTGGATTTTTGTTGTAGAGTTATCCTCCTACTTACAATGTGAAGGACATGCCTGTGCCAACTGCAGTCTGGAGTGGGGGCCGGGACTGGCTTGCAGATGTCAATGACATCAATATCTTACTGACTCAGATCACCAACTTGGTGTACCACAAGTACCTTCCTGATTGGGAGCATCTCGACTTCATCTGGGGCTTGGATGCTCCTTGGCGGATGTATAAGGAGATTATTGATCTAATGAGAAAATATCAGTGAAAGCCAGACTTGAGAAATTTACAGTCAAGTTGTTGATCAAGATGTGTTAAAAATTTGTTTACTTAATTCCTGGCTCAACGGTTAAGCACTCGGCTGCTAACCAAAAGGTCGGCAGTACGAACCCACCAGCTGCTCCATGAGAGAAAGATGTAGCAGTCTACTTCCATAAAGATTTATAGCCTTGGAGACCCTATGGGGCAGTTCTGCTCTGTCCTTCAGGGTCACTGTGAGTCAGAATCAACTCAAAGGCAGTTTGTTGTTGTTGCTGCTGTTAATTCCTTTAAAATATTTGTTTCTCTATCCCAGGTCTTTTCTATTTTGGTATCCAAGGAAATTACGATTTTGAATACACCAGATTCTCTCTAGTTAGGAGTAGAAGCATAAACTCTCTGCCATCAAGTCAGTTCCAACTCATAGTGACCCCTCCTTGGGTTTCCAAGGCGGTATCTCTATGGAAGTAGATTGCCCAGTCTTCCTTCCGAGGGGAGGCTGGTGGGTTTGAACCACCAGCCTTCTGGTTAGCAGCCAAATGCTTTAGGCACTATACCACCAGAGCTTCCAGAAGCGTATTAGCTATTTTTTAATTTTTTTAATCATAATCATCAGCTGACTAGGAGGCTATTGTCTCAACTACCTGTTGTTTACGTTGGAAAATTATCATTGATTTGTGAAAAGGCCATTATCTCCATTCAGTTTGTCTTTGGTCTTTGGTATAATTTATTATATTGCCCAATTTCCCTACAAAGGGCAAATTCACACGTGCATTGGAACTTTTAAACTGTGTTATTCACTGGTAAATAAATCAGGGCAAATTCACATGTGCATTGGAACTTTTAAATTGTGTTATTCACTGGTAAATAATGACAGTGACTTGAGAAAAACTCAGTGTGGAAGTGCCCAGTTCTCATCTCCTTGTCATAAAAAACTACCCAGTCCAATGACCTTCTATTTAGAGATCTAAATGAAAGCTTCTCATGTTTTCATTCAGTAGGTACAAAGGCAAATCCAGTGACATCCGGCTATGTCAGTTATTAAAGGTTCCACGGTGAATTTTACTTACCAAACCTAACAATGATGGCTGTTATTTCACCCATGTGTAAACTGCTCAGGCTAAGCAAAATTACTTGCTGGTGACTTTAAAAACAATTGCACTGACTTAAAAACAAAACAGAACAAAAACTAGGATGTTTTCAGTAGATTAAAGACTGATGCAAGCATTGTCTATGTTCTTGAGCTCTAAACTCTGTGGTAGATGGTAACTCCACTTGTGTAAGAAGAAGAAGTGTCCTGTGGCTCAGGTATACCACTATCTTTTGCTGAAATTAACATGCTCTCTCAACCAGCTGCTGTACCTCAGTGATGAGGTCTGTGTAGAGCACATACCCTGAGTCTGCCCACGGGAAGAGTGTCCTAATCCCATTTCACACAGAAGACATGAATGTGAACGTTTTCAAATTGAAACTCAGGGATTCTTTGAGTTTTTGTAGCTTTACATGTGACTGTATTTTTAATGCCCTGGTTTGTATCCTTGTGTCAGGAAACCCATGTCCATATGTTCTTGTAACATCATTGTTTTATGACACTGTTAGGTGGACAGAATGACCTCTCAATTGTTTTTTATATAATTTGAGATAATGTAATTACCTTTGCTGGCATAATAATACTTAATATTGGCTCATGTGCAGGTAGACTAATACTTTTTGTAACAATGAAAGAGTATTAACATTTCAATAAAATTCAGTGAGCCTCATAGGCCTGTAGGCTTATATTCATGTGTATTCTTTATTTAATAGCCACTCTATTCTTCCCTTTCTCTTTTTGGCAGGACGTAAGCTTTTCTTTCTCATCTCTCTCCTCCTTACTGCTTGTAAAACTCACTGATGCTGCCCACGAGCATTTGTTCCTTTCCCATGAGGAAGAGAGAGTGGTCTTAAGGCAAAGAAAGGTTGGGAGGTGGTTTGGAAACACTGACTTTGAAATTTCTCCTGCAAGGTCCATGTGAGCGAGTTTGTGAATGGAGACTGGGCAGTGGGACCATGGATTCACAGATGTCTACCCAACTCTCATTGTACAAATGAGACAACCAGGCTGAAATGGGCCATGTCATACCAGGTGCTAACTTGCCAGCTAGATGATTCCAACTCATGGTGACCCCGTGTGTCTCAGAATAGAACTGGGCTCCAGAGGGTTTTCAGTGGCTTATTTCTTGGAAGTAGATTGCCGGGCCTTTCCTGCAAGGCATCTCTGAGTAGACTTGAACCACCAACTTTTGGTTAGCAGCCAACCACATTAACCATTCGTATCACCAAGAGACTTTGGTCGTGCCATAGGGCCCCCAAAACACAGAGTTGGGGCCCAGTGTGATCTGTCTTACTACTCTGAGCTTGAGGACATACTAATCTCTGTAAATCCAGAATCTAACACACGGTCTGGGATATAAAAGGTCTCAGTGAATAGATGTGGACTGATGAAATGTGTGAAAAGCAGTGGAATTTTTCATGTGGCTAAATAAAATTAAGCACAAGTAACATCTGGACTGAAGTAGAATCAGTGTGATTTTCACGGTACCAAGAAAAAATGAAAAAGTGCACTAGATGTAAAGGGTGTGTCTGCAGGAGGGTGCTGCCTTCCCCACTGGCCATACATTCCCCAAAGAGCCCTTCCTTCTCCTTTGACCAAGCAAAATGGTGTAGCCGAGCAGATATGAGACTCTTGGTCTAAGCTGGAAAGAAAGGGACAGTGAGGGGACAGGGTTTCTGTTGTTTTCCACCAGCAGGGGAGAGAGCTTGCCAGGGAAAGCCTCCCTGTCACGGGTGACTTGGTTTCTCTAGCTTTGGCTACACCTTGGAGCCTCCTATAGATGCCCGTGAGAACTTGGGGCCAGTAAAGCTTTCACACACCAGACAGTAGACAGGAATGAGCAGGGGCTGCATTCCATAAGTCCACTGTCCGCAGGCCTGTTTTCTCTTTACATGCTTTCTAAATTTTTCTCTGGGGTCTTTTATTCAGTGGGGTGGTGTTACTGTCGACTGCCATTGAATTGGTTCTCAACTCACAGTAACACCATTGAGTTGGCCCCCAACTCACAGTAACCCCACGCACAATGGATCAAGATGCCGCCTCCTGGGCCATTACTGTGTGCATCTGTAGACTGGACAATTGAGATCCCTAGAACTTTTATTGGCTGATTCTCAGAAGTGGATCTCCAGGCCTTTGTTCCTACTCCATCTTAGTCTGGAAGACCCCCTGAAACCTGTTCAGCATTATAGCAACACTAAAGCCTCCACTGGCAGAAGCGTGGTGACTACACTGAGGTGTACTGGCCAGAATCTAACCGAGTCTCCTGCCTGGAAGGTGAGAATTCTACCACTGAACCACCCCTGCCCTCTCTTTTCGTGTGTAAATCAGTCTAAAGGTGGAGATGCTGCACACTGGTTCTTGCTACACTTGCCTTTGTGGGTGTCACCTTGTCGTTGACATAGCTGCCTAGCTTCTCTACAGCTTCATAACCCTGGATGTATTAACAGAAGTTCATCCCATCAGCTGACAGTGCAGGGTAAGGTTGGAACTTGTGCCACAAGAAGTCCTGTGAAGCGCTGGAGGAGTGCTGATTTATTTTTCACTGGCTTTGATGTATATTCACTTGAGCAGAATACAATGATCTCCACAGACTCCTAGGTCAAGGAAAAGAACAGTTACTATTCTGCCAACTTGGAACTTTTTTAAAAATACTGTGTACATCGGGAAATGAAGAGTCACCCGATGCAGTCACAATTGAGACTCAAGAAAATAGTTGTGTCCTTTGCCACAAGAGGGCATGCTTGGCTTTGCTTTCAATCTTCTCAAACCCCTGCCACTTTCCTTTTCCTAGGAAGGCTTTCTCTAGTTCTTTCCTCTTGGAAAGGTAGTTAACTTTGTGGCTTGGTGTGCCAGTTGGTCTTTGAGGGCTGGTTAGTGCCTAAGGTATTTGTCTCCTAACCAGAAGGCTAGTGGTTCAAACCCACCAGCCACTCCTTGGAAGGAAGGTTGGGCAGTCTACTTCCATAGTGATACCACCTCGGAAACCCAAGGAGGGGTCGCTACGAGCCGGATGGACTGGAGGGCAGTAGGTTAGAGTAGCGGTGGCTATGCTTATGTGTACCTAAGATTGTGACCGAGTCTTGCTTAATGAGTAATAGCTGAAAAATTTTCCCAAAGAACAGCTGTCCCCCCCAAATGTGACTTAGGAAAATAAAATTGTGCCTAAATAGATAAATGAATGATCTGTACCACAGACATGGGGGAAGGGCAGGAAGGGAGACTAAAGTAGTCTTAACCCAGATTTCAATTTACTAAGGACCAAAATTAGATTATTGACATTATATCCACAAAATGAAGATTATTTGGTTTGTGGGTATTAAAGGTGCTAAGGAGCCTTGGTAGCGCATTCAGCTGCTAACCAGAAGGTGGGCAGTTCGAAATCATCAACTGCTCCCTGAGAGAGAAAAACTTAATCTGCTCCCGTAAAGATTAGCTTTAGGAAACCCTGTGGTCCAGCTCTACTCTGTCGTGCAGGGTCAGGGGCGCCAGGAGTCAGAATTGACACAACAATCTGTAAAATGTGAACATTTAAAATACATATATTTTTAAATTTTGGCCTTTATTTTTTGATACAGGTAAGCCCTGACTCATGAGGTATTCCAGTTATGACGAAGCACACTTATGACCATGTTTTTTTTTTTTTTTTTTGGTACATTTTATTATTAGTAACATGTATGTGTGCATGTATATATTTATTAAAATATATCTGTAAATTTATATGTAATGCTTCCAACCCTCAAAGACAAAGATGGGATTTATGAACATACTGATAATAAAAGGCAACTAAAAAAAAAAAGAGAGAGAGGTGTTCTACTTAAGTCAGAACTGACTTACGATGGCATCATTGGAACTGAACCCCTTCTTAAGTTGGGGACTTCCTGTATGTGGAAAGATTGTCAAAGTGGAAGTGGCTCTGGTTTCTTGTGACTCCTGAGAGGCAATATCAAGTAGTGATTATTCTGGTTTTTTTTAAAGTGTTGTCAGCCATTAATTCATTCAAGAGTGTTCACTGAGTATTTTTGTATTGTGCTAAGTGCATATTTCAAGTTCAATTTCAAACTAAGCAAGTAAAACTCTTTTCTTTGCCAAATTGTTTCAGTTGTACTAAAATGAATACTTTGCTTTCTACATTGTGCCTTCTGCGCACAAGGCTTTGATCTTTGCCACAATCCCTTTGACAGGTGAGGTGAGTACCATTATTCCTGCTTTACAGGCAATGGTATGCTTTTTAATGGAGATAATTTTATATACTATAAATGTTTTAAAGAGGTGTGTGAGAGTGCCACCAATTTCAGTAGAAGCAAGATACAGATGAATCAAAAATATAAAGAGAAAGTGTTTAAAATCCAAATAGAAATACCTGCGTCCACAGGGACATCATGGAGTCTCTTGGGGGAGCTAATATATCCCACATTCTTCATCAGCACCCCCTACTGTTTTTATTATGTATAAATAAGGGAGCTCTGGTAGCATAGTGCCTAAGGCACTTGACTGCTAACCAGAAGCCTGGCGGTTCAAACCCACCAGCCACTCCTCGAAAGGAAGATGGGGCAATCTACTTTCGTAGTGATACTGCCTCGGAAACCCAAGGAGGGGTCGCTATGAGTCGGGTCTGACTCGACATAACAACAACAACAACGTTTGTGCTGAGTTTGTAAAGTACTATGTAAATGTAGTTTGAGTGACCCCCTTCCATTCCAAACTCCTATAGACATACTAGGAGCTCTGGTAGCATAGTGGCTAAGACACTTGCCTGCTAACCAGATGGCTGGCAGTTCAAACCCACCAGCCACTCCTCGGAAGGAAGGTTGGGCAATCCTACTTCCATAGTGATACTGCCTCGGAAACCCAAGGAGGGGTCGCTATGAATCGGGGCCGACTCGACGGCACACACACACACACACAGACATGCTATGGAACTGACATTGACCAGGTTCTGTTCTCAGTTTGGCTGTTAATCTTGACTTTTCTGAAATGGAATCTTTATCTTTAAAGCTAAAGATTAGATTTTTATTGTTGTGATTATTCCACCCTGTATGAGTCTTACATGTTACATGACAGTACAAATATACATGTCTGATAAACAATTTCATCCAGATTTGGAAAGAAAAAAAAAACATGAAGGTCAATTAGAAAAGAGAGATATTGTGTCTTTGGTAATGGGTTTTTCCACCTACATGTTTTATTTTTTTGTGTGTGCGGGAGTATTCAATGCCTTTTGGTGAGTTGGTACCAAATACCTTTTGAAATTATGTTAAATATGCACAGTCTTGATTGTTGTACTCTCAGGAAAGTGATTTAACTCCTGTAATGGCTAGAAAAGAAAGGATCCTTGTCTCCAGCCCTGTCAGAAAGGTCATACTAAAAACCGGAAGTCGTCATCAACTGGAGAACGTAGGAAATGGTGTGGCCAATCCTGTCTGAAATCAGTGAACACCCCCTCTTGTGGAAAACCATCTCTGTAAATAAGTAGCTCTACACTACCTCAATCAGTGCTCCAGAAAATCAATTCCAATTTTTAGCCCTGATTTAAAGCCAATATCTTCCAAAATGGTTACTGAGTTCACCAATATCTTTTGAACTCATTATGTGCAAAGCATTAGGCTTGGCATTGTGGAGAAAAGCCCTAGAAGATACATCCTGTGTCCTAAAAAGATCTAATCATTTAGGAACCATTAAATAAATATTGTGCAAATAAAAAGTGTCTAAAGATGAAAGCTTGCCAATTCAAGAAGTGACATCATTTTAGTCAATACTAGATAGCATTTTATTTTCTTTTATTTTGGGGGGATGGTCAATTAAATGATGCTGTTTTTGGATGCCTGACATACTGTATCTACTTTTCAGCATGCTCCATGACGTAGAATTGATAACTGATAAGATTTTAATAGATTGATTTCCCTGAGAAGGTTGCATTAATGTGTTGAATACAACCTTTTACCCTGGTGGGCTGTGTACAGGGAAAGCAAAAAAGCCTGTTATTCTTCATAGTGTCTTGAGGTTAAGTGTGAGGCCCCAGGCAGAGTTTCATTGTATATAAGACAAAGGCTGAACCTATAGCTTCCAGGTTTTGCTGCACCTGGCTTTAGTGACCGACCATCCTCTATTGATCTCTTTAAAAAAAGTGTTAAAAAAGCAAATATGTTACTTTAAGGAGTAAAGTACACCTGACCCAAACCATGGTATTTTCAGTTGCCTCATGCATGTGAAAGCTGGACAATGAATAAGGAAGACCAAGAAGAATTGGTGCCTTTGAATTACAGTGTTGGTGAAGAATATTAAATATACCACAGATTGCAGAAGAATGAACAAATCTGTCTTGGAAGAGGTACAGCCAGAATGTTCCTTACAAGGGAGGATGGTGAGATTTTGTCTTTCTTTGGACATGTTATCAGGATGGACCTGTCCCTGGAGAAGGATGTCATGCTTGGGAAAGTAGAGGGTCAGTAAAAAAGAGGAAGACCTTCAATTAGATGGACTGACACAGTGGCTGCAATGATGGGCTCCAACTTAGCAAGGATTGTGAGGATGATGCAGGCCCCAGGCAGAGTTTCATTGTATATAAGGCTGCTGTGAATTAGAACCGATTTCATGGTACCTAATAGCAAGAGTGATGATTCTAACAGGTTTAGTGGCAGAGGATGGAAACCAAAGAAGGAAAAGAATGGTTTGGTTGGGGCTGGGGCACAAGAGAGTCAGTCCTGACAACTGAATCTAATAGTGGGGCTCCAAATCAGCAACCTACCAATGTTAAAATCTACCTACCAATCTTAAAAATCTGTGAAGGCATCAAAAGCACCCACACATGATAGCTGAAACCACAAGAAAGTGACAGTGTGTGCTGAAGCAGAATTTGAGGGTTGACTTAATTTCTATTGAGGGTAACTTTGATACTTATGAGCAGAATCCATTTGTGAGTCTGAAAAGTGAGCTCTGATGTTCACTAGGAGCTTTGAGGGATCCAAGACTGAAGCAGAGAAAGCTCTCTCTTCTTAGATATTGCTGGGATGCAGTTCAAGGACAGGCCCATTTCTTCAAAGAGTGAGACAGCAGAAAGATTCTGGGTTGCCCTAAAAGTGAAGTGGAACTAGCATTGGGGCCATGGGTGATAGTGGTTGTGGTGGTGTTTGTGGTGGTGGTGGAGCTGGAACCTTGGCCTTAAGGAGGAGCTTAAAAGGACGGGTTGTATAACTGCCAAGAAACTCAGGACCAGGAAGTCTGAGTTGTACCTCTTTCTTTGCTACCATCTACATATCAGAGGGGCATGAGAAAATCCATGCTCATTCCCTTTGTTAATTGCTTGCTAAGAAGCTCAGAGCTGCTTCTGAACATTTTCCTTATCAGAGAATATTATAACATTCATATTACATTAAAAACAAACAAACAAACAAACAAAAGTCACTGTCGATTCCAACTCATAGCGACCCCCATTGGGTTTCCGAGGCAGTAAATCTTCATAGAAGTAGATTGCCCCATCTTCCTTCCACAGAGCAGCTGGTGGGTTTGAACCACTGACCTTCTGGTTAGCAGTCAAATTCCTTATCCTTTCTTATAGTATAAACCAAATCAAATCAAACTCACTACTGTGGAGTAGATTCCAACTCATAGTGACCCCAATTGGGTTTCCAAGGTGGTATATCTTTATAGAAGTAGATTGCCCAGTCTTCCTTCTGTGGAGGGCTGGTGGGTTTGAATTGTCCACCTTCTGGTTAGCAGTCAAATTCCTTTTCCACTGCACCACCAGAGGTCCTTTCTCATGGCATACTGTTGTTGTTGTTGTTATTTGCCATCAGATCGGACCCGACTCAAAGAGACCCCTCCTTGGGTTTCCAAGGTGGTATCACTACGGAAGTAGATTTCCCAACCTTCTTTCTGAGGAATGGTTGGTGGGTTTGAACCACTAGCCTTCTGGTTAGCAACCAAGTGCCTTAGGCATGATGCTACCAGAGCTCCCCATGGCATACTAGGGCTTAAAAAAAAAAAAAAAAAAAAAAAGATTGCTATAGGACCAGAAGCTATGGCTCTAGGGAATGGGCATCTAAGAAATATATGTAATCCATTAGTAGCAGGATGGCGACAAACACCAGCTGAGAAATTCTAAATTCTGAACTGGTGTTTGTTTGTATAGTTACATCTGCTATTTATTATTATACATTCCTATATCATGACATTATGAGTAGCCTTTTATGTATAATAACAGGGTATGTACACATCCCATTTTTATTTCTAGGCCTATGTATTAGTCTATATTTTTGTGGTACTTATTCTTCCCTTGGGAGCTCTGGTGGCATAGTGCCTAAGGTATTTGACTGCTACCCAGAAGGCTGGAGGTTCAAACCCAAACCCACCAGGTACTCCTTGGAAGGAAGATTGATCAATCTACTTCTGTAGTGACACCCCCTGGGAAAACCAATGAGGTGTAACCATGAGTTGAAATCGACTCAATGGCAGGGCAGTGAGTTTGGTTTAGTATGCTTTCCTCACAACATATGGCTTCTTATAATTTATTTATCTTTGCACAATATTGTTTGACTTTTATTGCAAACTTTCTCAATTATTCTTTAGATGAAATGCAGAGTGTAAATTTAAGATAATATGTATCTTTTCATATGTTCACTGAGGACTAAAAACCAAACCCAACCCACTGCCATTGGGTCCATTCTGAGTCATAGTGACCTGCATTGGGTTTCCAAGGCAGTAAATCTCGGAAACCCAAGGAGGGGTCACTATGAGTCGGGTCAGACTCCACGGCACATAACAACAACAACAACAAATCTTTATGGAAGTAGATTGCCCCATCTTCCTTCAGTGGAGTGGCTGGTGGGTTTGAACCACCAACATTCTGATCAGCAGTCAAATACCTTAGGCACTGTGCCACCAGAGCTCCTTACTACTGACTAGGCACTACAGTTTCACTTCTATAAAATCACAGCAATACTAATTGTGCCTACTTCTTATCTGGGTTGGGGGGTCATCTCTTCTGAGGATGAAATGAGAATTATGAAATCATTTAATAATGAAGATTCGTAAGTACAACACAGCGGTTAGCAGACATTACGTTGCAGCTTTGTTATCACTATTTGATTTAGTGCTTACAACAGCCTCCTGAGATGGCTACTATTATTATTCCCATTTGGAGACACAGGGAAAAGGAAGCTTCCCAGTGCAGCACTTGTCCCGACCACGGAGCTATAAATAGGCAAAGCCAGGATTGGAAGTTGCCCCTGACTCAAGGTTTTTGTCCAAAGCTTCTATCATGTACTAGTCGCGGGAGGTGATGTCAATTACCCGGTTGAAACACTGAAATTGTTTGTTCTGCGGGTCGCAGATCTCCCCAGCGCTCTTGTAGTACCTGCCTCTGCGCTCAGTTGGGGCCAGACTGCTTGCGGCCGCGACACGCAGGGGACAGGAATGGCTCCACACTCCGGCCTGGTTTGGGGGGACGAAGTGAGGGACAAGGGGCAAGTTGGCGTCGCAAAGCCAGCCGAGGAAATAGCAAGGGAGGTTCGATATTACCTGCCAGTTCCACAGCCTCTTGGGAGACACCAGGCAGTCCCTCTGAGGAAGAAGGTGGGTGGTTCCTGATCGCATCGCTTGCACCCCAGACTTGAGTCGCAGCGTCTTTTTAGTTAGATCGATGTAGCTTCTTGGGCGTTGCACCAGCGTTATTTTCTTTTAAAGGGAAGCCAGCAGCTGCCGCCCCCTTCCTTGGTCGCTGTGCGTCGATGTTCCTGCCGCTGGTCCGGCCACCCGGGGCGTTCCGCGGAGAGTCGTCCTCGCTGGTGCCGGCAGCGGCTCCTGGCGAGGCGGCGAGGCGGGCGGAAAGGCGCCTCTCGGATGATATTGGAAGTGGCAGAGGTTCCCACTCAAGCACCCGTCGGGTGTCATTTTCTGCCCGGCGGTCTGCTTGCCGCCCTGCTTGAGGTTAGATCCATACAGCAACCCTTAGGTTACGTAGACAGAAAAGATCTGAGATGATAGTTTTTTTTTTTTGTTTTTTAAATGCAGTTATCCTTGAGTCTTTATGAAAACACAGAAATGCAATTATATGTATGCATTTTAAAATACAAGTCATTCTGCATTGATTGCAAAGAAGGTACTTTCTGGGGTAATTTTTTTTTTTTTTAAATCTTGGTTGAGGTAGTGATGACAGGTGAACTGAGTTGTCAAAACTCATAAACTCCACCGAAAATCTGCATTGTGCTGTATGTACATCATACGTTAAAGAAATCAGAAAATAATTCTGCGTGCCTATGACAAGTCACTAAGTGCCGTTGCATGTGCACGCATCTATAAAAGCAAATTCAATGCGGCCGTAGACGTGCGTATTTATAGCAACTAAGTGCAACCCTGCGGGCTTATTTATTTATTCAAGCTCAGCGTAGTCGGAAAGGGAGTGAAAACGCCGCTGACATAACTGGGGGCGGGGCCACGCTCCTTAAGAACGGTCCGCGGGACTCGAGCCGGGCCAGTGCCGGGCAGCCTCACCATGAACCGCGCCAACAGCTCGGGGCAGCTGTTCCTGCAGCCAGCCTGGGACCGCGTGAGGACCCTCACCCAGTCGCCCTTCTTCGCGGTCGCTTTTGCGATCACCACTTACGTGAGCTTCTGCCTGCCCTTCGTGATGCTGGACGCGCTGTACCCCAGGGTGTCCGCGCTGCAGCGCTACAAGATCCATCCTCACTTTTCGCCGTCGGCCAGGCAGCTGCTGCCCTGCCTGGGGCGCACACTGTACCAGCACGTGATGTTCGTGTTCCCGGTGACCCTGATGCTTTGGGCCGGCAGCCTGGACCGCCAGCCCACGGAGGCGCCCGAGCTGCTGGAACTGGCGTACCACGTCGTGGTCTGCTTGCTGCTCTTCGACGCGGAGTTCTTCGCGTGGCACGTGCTTCACCACAAGGTGCCCTGGCTGTACCGGCTCTTCCACAAGGTGCACCACCAGAACTCGCCCTCGTTCGCCTTGGCCACGCAGTACATGAGTGTCTGGGAACTGTTTTCCTTGGGCTTCTTTGACATGGTGAACGTCAAGCTGCTTGGGTGCCACCCATTCACCGTGCTGGTGTTCCATGTGCTCAACATCTGGCTGTCGGTGGAGGACCACTCGGGCTACGACTTCCCCTGGTCCACGCACAGACTGGTGCCTTTCGGATGGTACGGGGGCGTGGTGCACCACGACCTGCATCACTCCCAGTTTACCTGCAACTTCGCACCTTACTTCACACACTGGGACAGACTTTTGGGGACGCTGCGGTAGGTGCGCTCCGAGTAACCTGCATCCCTCCCGGCTTGGGGTGAGACTGCGGTGGGTGCCCCTTAGACCTGGGACAGCTGTGCCTTTCACACTTGAATCAAGAGAAACACATCTGAGCTTTCTTCCTTCCTTCCTTCTTTTAATAAGCACTGTCTTATTAAGCGATGGAAACTGTTGTAGATAAAATCTGATGTATTTTTGCAAGCTGACAAAGTAATTTATATACTGTTTTATATGGATGCAAATGTATTCTTGATGTAGCCTTAATAATTCTTCAGTAGCCTTAATTCTTGAATTAGACACTCATCACTGGCATATTTCACTCATCTCTAAAATAATTTGCTTGTACATCAAGGACTTTCCTACATATGAAAATGTCCTAGAACAAGGCTAATAGGAAAAAACAAAACAAACAAACAAACAAAAAACACCCTGCTATGTAGGCTGTGACCTCAGACACTGTATATGTTGAAACATGTTCCTGCTGGAAAAGTGACAAAGATTGTAGTACTTTTTTTTTTTTCTATTTTCATAGAAATATATATTTATATTTAAATAATTGTTATTTGTGCTTAAAAAAAAGATCATGAACAAAACAAGTATTGGCTCCTGTTTCATTGGCATTTTGACACAAATTGAAGAGGGAAGGGGGAGCTGGGAGGGCAGGTATCCTCATGAGTTAGATCAGCTGGCCCATGGAAAGAGAGGAATAGCCAGGGTGAAGTGTTTTGTTGGGGGATTGTAGGAGAGGAGGCTGAACAAGGAGTCTTTTTGTTTTGTTCTAGACGGTCCATAGAGGAAAGCCCAGTCAGTATTCCTGGGAAGACCTTGATTGTTCTGAACGCTTTTCAGCTGGTTTCTGGCTAATAGGCAACTGATGGAACAACTCTAAAGTTTTACAGAGAAACTGCACTGGATGATCATTTGATTATATGGAGGTGTGGGAATGAATGGAATTCAAGGGGCACCTTGCTTTGCAAAACTGATGCATTAAAAGTGTGCATTAGAGCAGCTGATAGGTACAAAAAGGGATTCTGAGGAAGGGCCCTTTCTCACAAAGCCAAGGGCCCCAGGGAATGCAAATAAGAACCGAAGGCAGTGGCTCTGTGATCTGGGAGTTTTGTATATTTAATTTTCTTAATTAAAACATTCATGGAAAATACACATCCCTTCCTCAGGAAAGATAAGAAGAGGTGGCGATATAGTGAGATTTGGTGTTTGGTCTCGGATCCCTGCTTCCTCCTCTGTAAAGGGAGATAGTATCCAAGATGTTGTTGCAGATTACTTGTGCCTGCAAATGTTTCTATTACTGACCACACACCCTTTAGCCCTCATGCACTCTGTCTGGCTGCTGCCTAATTGTTTTCATTTTACTTTTGAATGTCGTTTACATTGTATAAAGTTAGAAATCAGGACAATTAGTCTGAAAAGGATGAAGAAAGGCAGCTTTGCTTGTAGTTCCAGACTCATGATATATGATCCAGACTATCTTGTTCAAAGGTGAAGAACCCATCTAAAGATCCAGTCTCCAGAGTCCACCCAATGAGACTTCTTAGACACATGGGTAAGCCCTCCAGATGTTAGCAGCATGCAGCCAGAATGCCGGCCACTCAGCTGATTTCTTTACATTCCCTCCTCTTGTGAGTGCACAATTTAGAATTTGTAGTGACAAATTTAGAATTTGTCAGTGTCAGGATGTGATGGGACTTAAAGATAATATTGACTTATTACATGAAAGTGAAATACGTGAAAATAGGAAATGAGAATGTTGGGAAAATGGAGCTTTCTGGAGCTGGTCACGGTCATCTTGAGTGAAGAATGTATCTTCTACATGGGAGACACAGCTCTTAGTCATCGGGGGCTACTCCAGTGTTAACCAGAAACGGCCATGACCAGTTTAGACCAGACCTAGGTGCTTCCACCTATAAACCTGACTTAACTAGGATTTTCCAAAATGTGTGTTCTATTGACACGTCATCATAGTGAAGTCAAGTACCTTTGCACCTATCACAAACAAAAGAAAGGACACATGGCCCAATCACAATTTTGTCCCCACTTCAAAAGGACCCACTTTTGCTTAAGTGACAACTTTCCAGAACCTAATCCTTTTTTGAAGAAAAGTCCTCAAAGGTCTTATAAAAAGAGATTGCTATCTTTTTCAAATTGAAGTTCTTGGTATATCCTCTTGAGTACTAGATTTGCTTTGTTGCCAAATAAAATCTTTCTTAAAATTTTTTATAACTAGACTCCAGACTCTGTCATTTAACAACAGGTACCCAACAGCTGCCCTGGAGATCTTCAGTAATGCTCTCTTTCACAGAATTTTTAAAACTGCATCATGTTGCCTAACACTGTAAGAGAATTTTGGATTAGGGGCTGATTGTACATATGGACAGTATTTGTTTGGATTTAGAAAAATTTTCTCAAAATGAGAGGTCTAATTAATTTTTAAGGAGTAGAGAGTGGGAGTGGAGGAGAAGAGAGGTTGGGCATTTTTTTTCAGGTAGATTGGAAGCTAACAATAACAACAACAGCAACAACAACAATAATAGTAATAATAAGGAAGTAGCTGACATTTGCATGCTCTTCTCCACATTATTTCACTTGCCCCTTACAACCCCCAGACAGATATAGGACAGTTACTATTATCATCTCTGTGTTATGGGTAGGGAATTTATACCTGCACAGGTTAACTGACTTCTTCCAGGTTATAAAAAACTAGATGTTGGAGTCAGTTCTCAAACTTACCTCTGGTCGTCTCCACTCAATCTCTCTTCTGATGTTTATGATAATCTTCACAACTTCCAGAGCAACACAAACCCTGTGACACCAGCAAATGGCCTTTCCTTGCTGTTCTCCCTCAGTCATTAAACCCCCCACCCAAACACAGCAACCCTCTGGTGCATTACTTTGACAGGGATGTCCCTGTAGTCAAGACCACTGCCTGGGCAGTGAAGAAAACCAGGGATGCTAGTCCGAGGCCAGTCTAGGCAGGACCTGGGCAAGTCACAGATTCCATTTTCTGCATCCTTCATTGTGCATCCGTTAAAAGCACAAATGTTGGAGGATGACTGCCTGACTGATAGTCTCCACTCTGGGACTTATTAGCTGAGTGATTCTGGGCAAGTTACTTACCTTTCTATGCCTCAGCTTTTTCATCTGTAAACTGTAGACACTCCTAGAACCATGTTGTGAGGCCCTTATGAGATACTATATGTAAAATGAAGGAGCTCTGGTGGTGCAGTGCCTCAGGAATTTGACTGCTAACCAGAAGGTTGGTGGTTCACACCCAACAGACGCTCCTGAAGGAAGATGGGGCAATCTACTTCCTTACAGATTTACCTCCTTGGAAACCCAATGGGGGTTGCTATGAGTTGGAAGTGACTCAATGGCAGTGTCTTTGATTTGCTGTATGTAAAATGAAGGAGCTCTCGTGGTGTAGTTGTTAAGGCATTTGGCTGCTAACCTGAAGGTCAGATGTTTGAACCCACAGCTGCTCCATGGAAGAAAGATGAGGAGGTCTGCTTCTGTAAAGATTTATAGCTTTGGAAGTCAAATGGAGGTCTCTATGAATTAGAATTGACTTGATGGCAGTGAGTTTGGTGGGTTTTTTTTTTTTTAATAAATAATACACATAAAATAAATAATATTCATAAAACGCTTCTTGGAAGTCTTGAGCAAATTTGAATTTGTATTGGCTGTGACCAATGGGTCATGATGTGAACATTAGTGCTGAAGTTCAGGCTTTAACCTGTCAACAAGTATGTTTGAATTAGTTGATCTTACCAGAAGACAAGGTAAAGTCGAGTTGAGTTCTTTTAAACATTTTCTGTATTTTAGGTGAGCACTTCCACAGCTGATCAAATTCCCACTCACTGTTTGTTCCCTGACGTTGGTTGCCATCCCTGCTGTGTGTCAGCACTCTCCTCTTTCCCATCCTGCCTTTCCCTCACTTCAGTCCCCCCACTTTCCCTGCCCCTCTTTGCTTTCTCATTTTTTTTTTTTTTGGACAAATGTTGCTTCTTTGGTCTCATATCATTGATTATTCTAAGCAACACATTCCTCATGGGTGTAATTGGTTATTTTATAGGCCAGGCTCTTACGTGGCTGAAAGGTGATGACTTCTGGGAGTGGCTTCAGTTCCAGGTTAAAAGGATGTTTAGGGTGATAGTCTTGGGGGTTCCTCCAGTCTCTGCCAGTCCAGTAGGTCTGGTATTTTTTTTTTTTTTTTAATTAATTTGAGTTGTACTTTACATTTTTCTATCATTCTAACTGGAACCTTCTTTTTATTTATTTAACTTTTTATCTGGGAAAAAAGTTTACAAAGCAAATTCATCTTCCATTCAACAGTTCATACACATTTTGTTTCATTACGTTGATTGCAATCCCTACAATGTAATAGCTCTCTTCCCACTTCCTCCCAGTAGTTACCTTTACCCTATGTCCTTCTTTCCTGCCCTGTGAGCGCAAATGCTTCCTTTCTGATCTGCCATGGTTGATTGTTCTGAGGAGTACATGCCCCTGGTGCAATAGTTTACCTCATAGGCCTGTCTCTTCAACTGTTTCTTCTCCCTCCAGTGGCTCCTCTTTCTTCACAGCAGGGAGACAAGCTGCAGTTCACTTCTTCTTTTTATTAAAAAAAAAAAATCTATATTGTGTGTAAGGAATGCCCATCCTATCATCTCCCAAGGTACCCTGTAGATCGCCTATTGCCTTGCATTTTAACACACGCATACAGACAATTACACACATGTACATGCACCATGTTTTTGAGTGTATATATCCTATATGTGTATACACGTTATATAATTGACTCTTGAACAACACAGGTTTGAACTGCATAGGTCTACTTATATGCAGATTTTATTTTCCAGACATGGATCTTAGAGACATTTAAGAGCTAATAGACACCACACCCAAGGAATTAACACAAGACAACTTGATGGAGATGAGTGCTTCCAAACTAGTGCCAGAAAATGAGGAAGAAGATACAGAATAAACAG